TTTTCGTCAACATTCTACGATAAAACAAGAAAACAGGGTTATGGAAACAGAGAATATGTGCAGGGTCAATGGACAACGTGAAAGCGATAACCGCGTGCGCGCAGCAGCCTGGGCGAGCAGGAAATGGCGTGACAGAACGCTCGTACGGAAGCAAGCGCGTCATCTGATTGATTTGCCAATTATCAAGCGCGCAGTCATCTGCGACCTTAGCGACGCCAGGCTCCTGGGCCGCGAGGGCCAATCAAATAGCAACAATGAGCGAATGCCAACAGTCGGATTTCATTGCTATTAGGGGGGGCGCATTATCTTTGCCGCGCCCTTTATCATTACGACAAAATAGAGCACCTGTTTCAGATCCCTCCTCCCCGGTCACTTCTAATCACTTTACATTATAATCAGGGCTCCACCAAATGATATTTACTGCTAAATCGGCTAGTTGAACAGTTCCGCCGCTAGCTGAAGATCACCTACATCCCTCCCCCCGCCACCAGAAGGCAGCGGAGGGCCGGTAGAAGTGAGCCGAGCATTTCTCACTGGTCCTGTTAGGCATCCGCACTCCCTGACCTTTCGTTGAGCGAGAAGGGATCCCGTTAACCTTGTGAATCGATCCCACCCCCCGGTCTTGTAGACATCCTTCCTAGTTAATTGTGTCTATGATAATGCAGATGAGTGTGCCAGCCACTGTAGCCAACATATGATGACCCCTTCAATTTCTCTCGACCAGCGATTACCTTTTGAATCCAAAAGGCAGCTCGTGATAAGGCTGTAATCGTGGACCATTCCAAGGCCGATGGTTTGGATATTACTCCGGATGTGCACCTTCGCACTTACCTTTTGGTGCTTCACCACCCCTAGGCCATACTTCCTAGTCTCCATCTCCTCCTGATTCCGTGTCCTGCATTTTTTCACTTATGCTTCTCGTTTTAATCAAGTGTACTAGATGTGACATACAATTTCCAGGTTGTGCGTAAACGCAGGTTAAAATCTAACTTGAACTGCCCCAGGGAACTGGGAATTTTGGCATTTATCTTTGGATACTTGGTCAATTCAAGGGCTATGGCGAAATTGTCCATCTTCTCAAAGAAAACTGGACTAGCCTGAACGATTTGGGTATATATTGAAATAGCCAGCCGATGCAAACAGTCCGAGCTACTCACAGCCGTGATCACTGAACTGACCCCAGAGCTTTCCCACTCTAAATCACTCAGCGACTGTAGCTTACGGATTTTCGAAGTCAAGCTAGATAGGTTGTGGGTGACTGTTAATCAACACAATAGTCTAGTGAAGCACATGCACGGATAGTAGTTCATCCCCTCGCTTAACGACTTAAGACTACGTCGGCTGAACAAGAAAATATGTTGTCCGATAAGAGCGAATGATGAGACGCACAGCTGTGCTTCATTGGCAGCCGCTGCATAACTGTCCTTACATTAGGAAAGTCAGAAGGAATAGTCAACACTACCCGCCCATTGCTAGTTTAACTAAGCGAGAAAACACAAGGTCCATAGGAGAGCCGGAAACATCTAGAAGCGGCACCATCCCCTTAAGACTGTAAGACGGACTTGTAGAGCTACGAATTCAACAAAAGACCAGACACAAATGTTACTTCCACCCAACAACCGGCATTAACGGCCAATTCCCTGGGACCAACTTGTTGTGATCTTCACTAAGCTCTTACCTCCTTAGTACTTGCTCACCCGGAGTCACATTAGTGTGAGGTCTAAGCCAGACCTATAGCATATGATCTCGAGGAGTTGTTATATCGTGTAAAGGCATATAGTGGGTGGCAGAGAAACGTGTGCCACTGAGTCGGTCTAAGGTTAGAGACCTCTGCAACAAAAATTGCCGTTGTAAATTGTTCAGATCGTCTCAACCACATCCCGCCTGAGCTCTCTATACTTTCATCACAATTCAAATATACTGTGGGTCTCCATCGGCAGTTAGATTTTGGTCCAAAAACAAGACCATGCGTCTTCGCAGGATGGACAGTTTCGGGGTAACCCTTGAATTGACTAAGTATCCAAAGATAAATGCCAAAATTCCCAGTTCCCTGGGGCAGTTCAAGTTAGATTTTAACCTGCGTTTACGCACAACCTGGAAATTGTATGTCACATCTAGTACACTTGATTAAAACGAGAAGCATAAGTGAAAAAATGCAGGACACGGAATCAGGAGGAGATGGAGACTAGGAAGTATGGCCTAGGGGTGGTGAAGCACCAAAAGGTAAGTGCGAAGGTGCACATCCGGAGTAATATCCAAACCATCGGCCTTGGAATGGTCCACGATTACAGCCTTATCACAAGCTGCCTTTTGGATTCAAAAGGTAATCGCTGGTCGAGAGAAATTGAAGGGGTCATCATATGTTGGCTACAGTGGCTGGCACACTCACCCGCATTATCATAGACACAATTAACTAGGAAGGATGTCTACAAGACCGGGGGGTGGGATCGATTCACAAGGTTAACGGGATCCCTTCTCGCTCAACGAAAGGTCAGGGGGAGAGCATTTGACTGGGTAGTTTGTGGCATCCGACGCCAGAGATCCCGCTCTCCGTCCCATGTGTTACCCCACCCATAAAACCCCTCCACCACCATTCAGCGTACGATACAGTCCACAGGCTAGCTCAAGTTAGTTGTGGGTACTACACCCTATGGTTGTCCTTTGTTTGCTTGCTGCTATAACAAGTTCATGTCTAAATCTTGGGGCTCTACCGTATGTCAGACCAAAAACTCCGCGCGATAACCGAACCGGAAAAGTTGACAAACAACTCTACATTCCGATACGAAGACTACTCTTTTTAACATATTTCTTGTCCGCCTTCTTATGTAATCGGCCTTGACAAGAGGGATGGAATACATTTACGACAAATTCGCCGTTCGTCGCTTCAGTCGGTCACCTAGTTCCCATAAAAGAAATGGCATCCATGTGCACACCGGATATCCGTAATTCAGGCTCAGCTAGCTTGTATAGGCCCTGGCCATTCGTATAAATAAAGCATAATATTGTTTAGACAGATTTGCGAAGGGTATATGAACCAGTGTTGATGGTTTTTGCTTTCCTGCACGGGAAGACGGGTTACCCGTTAGCCTAGCTGCTGGCTACCCGGCGCGTCCACAGGTGGCGGATAGTGCGACGACCTTCGGTGAAGGTTAGCTGCGAAATAAGCAGGCCCAGGTCTGACGAATAAGCAGTCGCGGACCAGCAGCGACATTGCTACCAGGGTGCGGTGGGCTGAGGTCTGGCCCGCTGAAAGACGTATAAAAAGCCGCAAAACCCAATGACGACATTGTGACCTGGCGACCGTAATCCGCCATTAAATAAGTTTACTTGCCACCGCTGCCTTGTGGTGAGGCTTTTAAGCCAAATCGCTAGTGGAGACAACCTCGAACAAACAATCCGGGCGGCTGTTGGGGACCCGCCCGTATTCGAAATTCCCAAAAAACCTCATGAAATATGTCCGATCACAGCATTACGACCCATGCTACGGCGTCCGCGGGAACCGACGCTCTCCGCAACCCTGGTCCAATGGTGCAGGCGAGTAGTATGCGAGCTGGACTACTCAATCGTGGACGGACACTCGGTGTTGGATGCTGGAATGTGCGACCGTCCCTGGACCCCGGTACCCAAAGTCTGACCGCACGCAGCCTTTATCAGTACAACGTAGATGTCTGCTGGCTGTCTGAAGTTCGACTCCTTGACTCAGGCTCCCGTGAAATAAAGATCACGGGAGTCGAATCACATTTTACCCTGTACCACAGCGGCCCGCGCGATTCTTCTGGTCGACACGGTGTGGCGATCGCCCTATCGCAACAAGCGGACCTCGCGCTACGTGCTTGGGAACCAGTCAATGGCCGGATGGCCTACGTGCGACTGAAGGGCCACTTCATGAATATCTCAATCGTCTCTGTGTACGCATCAACTTCGGCTGCCGAACAGTGCGATACAGAGGTGTTTTACTCTCAGTTGCAAGCGCTAGTTGAAAGACTGCCTCGCCGCGATCTGCTGATTGTTGCTGGCGATTGGAATGGTCGAACTGGACCTGGCGACCCCACAACCAGTCATCTTCTTGGTCGCTTTGGGCTTGGCTCCCGATGCGAAAACGGTGAGAGATTGTGAACTTCGCTGATCAAAACCGACTGCTTGTCACCAACACATGTTTCCAGCATCGCAAAAAACATCTGCTGACTTGGCATTCAAAAGACGGTCATACGGCCAGTCAGACTGACTACATACTAGTCAGCCCAAGGTTCCACAGCTAGGTTCACGATAGCAGATCCATGCGTGGTGCCAAGACTGGTAACGCCCATGGGTCGGACCATGTCATCGTCCGAACACGCTTGAAAGTTCATCTCTCATCCGCGCCAAAAGTGCCGCGTCCTAGACGCCTCGATGTCGTAAAAATCCAGCAAGTCAGCACTGCCGAGGCCCTAAGCAGAGAAATCCGAACCTGTTTTACGGCCCGCGCCGACGGAGAAGTCAGTAACCAGTGGTCATCAATGAAGACTTCAGTCTATGGGGCAGCCGAGAAAAACCTTGGATACACCCAGCGACGCCGCAGTGGCTGGATCAGCGGAAGAACCCTGCAGCTGTCTGATCAGACGGCTCGAGCCAGGTCCCGCAAAGATGACTGCTTCCGCCAACTTCGGAAGATGACGGCAAAATCGGCCAGGGATGACCGGAAGCAATATTGGGCTGAAATAGCGACCTCCATGGTACAGGCATCGAACGTTAGTGACACTCGAGAACCCTACTAATTTATCCGCCAAGTTAATGCTAAGCCCTCTACACTGAGTGACTCTGTTCGTGACGTGAACGGCGGCCTTATTGCTGACAACTCGGCCAAAGTCGAGCGCTGGCGTGAGCACTTTGAGCACCATCTCAACTTCGATACCCAACTCACCTCGCCCTTGCTCTTCTCTTCAGCGGACTTTCTTCTCTCTCCTACCTATGCAGTGCCATGCGACCCCCCCCCCCCCTCTGAAGGAGAAGTCGCCGATGCCATACGGAAGTTGCGCAACAATAAGGCATCCGGTGAAGACCGTATACCCGCTGAAATCTTCAAGTCTTGTGTCGACACTCTGGGGCCCTGGCTCCATGAGGTGATTGAACGAGCGTGGAGAGACGAGGTTGTTCCTGAAGACTGGGGCTTAGGCATCCTTGTACCTCAAGAAGGGAGATAAGACGGGATGCGAGAACTACCGCGGCATAAGTCTCATCGACGTTGCTGCGAAGATCTTCGCTATTGTCCTACTCAGGCGATTCCGGGCTGTGCGTGACTCAAGGACGAGGCCCAACCAAGCCGGATTCCCTGCTGGACGTGGATGTGCGGACCAGGTATTTTCACTGAGGGGCATTCTTGAATTTCGCCATAGCTACCAACAACCGGCGGCCGTCTGCTTCATTGACTTTGTCGCCGCGTTCGATTCCGTTCATCGTGAGGCCCTGTGGCGGATAATGGCGCTAGATGGTGTACCGGCAAAAATCATCGCCAGGATCAAGGCCTATTATCGCTCCACTACTGTGAGAGCCCTGGTCTGCAACAATATTTCGCAACCGTTAGGTATTCGGTCTGGCATCCGACAGGGTTGTATTCTGTCGTCCATACTGTTGAACTATGCCACTGACTGGATCCTCGGGAAGGCCCTACGCGTGAGTGACGGCGTCGAGTTTGCACCCGGACATCGACTGACTGATCTCGACTATGCCGATGATATCGATTTACTTGCTTCAAGTTTTGGTGATCTGCAGTCTATGGTGTCACGAGTGAACAAGGTCGCTAAATCGGTCGGTTTATCCATAAACGCTGGGAAGACCAAAGTATTCTGAAGCTGCATCCCTGACCAGGAGAAGGCAACCCTCGGGATTGATGGCTGTCAACTTGAAGAAGTAGACAGTTTTAAGTACCTCGGGGCTAGGCTGCTGCCTAATGGACAGAGTAAGGAGGACATTGTCTCCCGAATCTATGCTGCCCACTGGGTTTTCTCTGGCCTTCGGAAATGCCTATGGAACCGACGTGACCTCTCCATCGCCACTAAGATTCGCGGGTACCGTGCATCTGTCCGGGCTGTCCTTCTCTACGGTTATGAATGCTGGGCTTTGCGCGTGGAGGATGAGCGAAAACTGGAGGTATTTGACCACCACTGCTTGAGGATCATCCTTAGAGTGTAGTTAACCGACTTCGTCTCAAATGAGACGGTCCGCGCTCGCTGCGACAACATCGCAAGGATAACTCAGGCCATCCAAGAAAGACGACTGAAGTGGTTCGGGCATCTTCTTCGTCGTCCGCCTCAGGAGCTCAGTCACTGCCCTCGATCCGGCACCGTTACCCCATTGGAGGCGTCGAAGAGGGGGTCAGTTCAAAACCTGACTCGACACAGTTTGCCAAGACATGGAGGTGGTTCTTGGACCTTCGGTATTCGGTCTACGTCGTTAGCGAAGAGAGTGGATTGAGCTGTCCAGATCTGCTGCCGCGGATCGTCACGCGTGGAGAGGTACAGTTCGGGACATCATTGAGGCCGGCTAGATCAGGCATGATCGCAGCCGTATCAACCAACCAACCACTTTCGTGCACCCATATTCTAGTGATAGTTCGACCGTCGGCTATGACGATGTCCATCGCGTGTTCCACAGCCAAGTGATGCAGTAACTTGCGCCTGAATTAGTGTATAGTGAGAGTGGACTTGCGCGGCATCTACCGCACGCTCCCCTCCTCACCCACCTGGGCTCAGTGTCCACACATAGTCAAAAAGACCGGATGTGAGGGAGAACGTAAGCAGCTAGCACGGCCGGACCCGCACCTAGGCCTACACCCACACCCCCAGGTCTACAACAAACACTTGACCAGGATTTTAATCCACGCCAACAGCACCACAACGGGCCAGAAAGACGAGGACGACTGGGCAGCCATCCTCACCACCTGTATAGCCGGCGCGAGCATACCTACCGGCATGGAACCAGGTATCAGAGAACTGCCAACGCACACCAGGCTGCGAGGACAATGGTTTACTGAATCATGGCATAGCAGACGCACACAATCCTTAGGACCCAGAAGGGTGAGTTGCAGCCCTGCATTCAGCCTGGGCCATCATCCTTCAAAGGCCGGACAACCAATCAGTCGTCGACTGAGAGGCACTACGCTTGTACACACACACACACACACCTCACATGCATGAGTGTCAGGAGTCACGTTAAGGAGCCTTTGCAGCCTGACTCTCAGTCACACACAAACAACTTGTCTGACTGTATGGACTGAGCTTGAGCCTCAGTCCGTAGCCTTCCAAGCCACGATCCAAGCATACGATCCGTGTTACTATTGAGTACCAGGTCGAGTCGTAACACCGAGATAACCAACTCCAAAACTTGGGAACCAGTCGGGATGCACTTAATTCGTTCATATTTGGTTCCACCAAATGCGAGGAGGATCACGGAACTACACATTTGAGGTGATGGGCTGTAGGATGCTTGCCGGTCTCACTGTAGTTTTGACGCGGCAGATTACCGTGTGTTTACTCCAATGGAGTCTGTGATATGGGCGTGGAGGGAGGCGGCATAAAATGTAACTATCCACTTGCAGTCAGCATACCTAGATTCCGAAACGTAATCTGTGAGGTCATGCGTCGTGTCCCGAACTAACGACTGTCCGCAGGGATGGCTTGTTTTGGCGTGCCAGAGAACTCCGTCATACGGGCTTTGCAATATGCCACTCCTTTGTGATAATGCCTTTGTTTTTCTTCAACTGACCCAAGACCTTTGTTACCGTAGCAGGTAGTGAGTCCGGAGTGGCGGCATTGCCAAATATGTAGTACTAAGGACTTGTCTCGATAGTCCGCCTCGTCGAAGACAACGGTGGGACGGCCCCTGTCAGAATGTAAGCGTGCTTGTGTGCTCTTCAGAATCAACTGTTATCCACGAGTGTCCATTGAGAGGAGCCGAATTAACCAGAGGGAAGAGTGCAACTGGTCCGGAGCATGGTGGAGCATTACCCATGTGATGGGTGTTCGAAGGCTGCTAGATTCGTTGCACCACTCGGAGGGTAGATTCGGACCTATGGCCAGTCCACCGAGCGGGACAATTCCTGAATGAAGTACCGACAGTTATCACTAAACTCGGGAGTGAATGGTTACGTTTAATATCCCCCACTTCTCTTCACGACCAAACCACAGACTACCTGAGGCGAAACGCCCAGTGCTCTGTCGCGTCCAAAATTCAGTGAAATTGTCGACCGTTTTACAGCCCATCTCACAGAAGTACAGTCTCGGGGTCTTTTTCTCATTCGATGGAATCAAATATTAAATTAAGGTGATCCCGATTGGTCCATTTGTCAAACCTAATTACCGCAGAAATCCCTCAAAACATCGAATGACAGATTCCAATTGCGTGCAAGCTCAAAGTTTCGGCGTAATGCGCAGGTTACACACGGCATTATTGATCAAAACGGTTCTGAATACTGCAAAGAACAACTGAACAACCGGACGGTAGCTAAGCCGACTCCTACATTGCCTGTGCCTACCTGACAGCAAACCCATTTGGCGACAGTCAGTAAGGACGTGAGACCGTTGTGGACACCGACCATTGCCGCTGCCAACAAGGACAAGGTCCTATTGCATCACGGTGAGGTGGTAATTTTGCACTCGTAATTACCGTTGGCCACGGCAGGCACGGTGTGCAGGATACCCTCGTGCCATTAGTCGGATCTGCGCACATGACTCCCTGACCTGTGAAAATGGATATTTAAAATTTATACTCAAAAAAGATGGAATCCAAATGCATATCCTGTTGAAAGCCTCCGGTCACTTTCATATGGTACTTGCAGAGCCCGTTTCCGGGATATAAAGGCAGGAGAAGATTAAGTTCGGTCTAATATAATCGTGTTTATCAGGCAAAATTAACCTCGTCAGGTCACAGCCTCACAGAGAACAGCAGAACTCTTGCAGTGGTGTTCGTAGAGGCGGTGTTGAAATGAGACCCTTTGCAAAACATGGAGTCTGCATGAACATAATTAAATAAAAATGAGCTCGGGTCACGAATCAGCTGCCACGGGTTTAGTCTAAGGATCTCTAGTGGTAATTCTTGAACTAACTATTGATTCTGCTCATAAGACCTACCCCCTGGTACTCGAGGAGCTTGTTTGCCTTGTGTGAAGGTACTGACAAAGCTGGCTTGTAGTCTGTAACTGCGCACAGCGATGTCGCCCATCAAAAGGTAGTTGTATCAATCAGACTTGGCCTATCTTTGACTGAATTAAGATTCCAGAGCGCGTGGTCGGCGATCTCAATCGTACAATATTACAGGGGTAGGGGGTGTTCGACTTTGGTACAGAACCAGGTAATCCGACTACGAAATTCATACGAAATGGAAGCCGAACTCAGCTATCTAAATATCGAAATAGAGCTCCAGTGCGTTTATCCAATACACGCACCAAGTCGGTCTGTTTACTGGCGGTTGGGTAAGCATATCCTTGTAACTTCCAACATGGCCTGGACTCGACGGGCATATATAATGGAAGAGGTGATCTGCTTTGAAATTAGGGGAAGGGCAATTTGTGAACTAACATGGTTGAGAACCATCAGAGTCCACATCTATAAAGATGGCTTCTGGAGCCTGGTGACCGATTTCCAAAACAACCGAAGCTATTCAACTGCGATCCAGGCTAACGTGCATGTAACCTTCCATCAGAGAACATCGTAGTCTAGTTAAAATTGGTAGTCACTTGCGGCAGGTAGCCGAATATCATACCCGAGTAGGTTCTTTAAAGAATGCTTACAAGCAAACTTGCAGTGCGCAGAGTTATGATAAGTATTAACAAACGCAATGCAGTTTAAATCCAAAAATCATATCGATAAAACTTTTAAGGCGGAATCTCTCAATTATTTTAGAGGTAATTTAGACAGAAACTTGGGAAAACCAAATTCTGAAAAATATCGAAACAGCAAGGAACAGGTTGACACATATGAAGGATAGAAATAGGAGGACAGGGAGAAACGGTGGACCTTTCGACCCAGCAATCTGATCAGTCCCTTCGAAGCGCTGACGCAACCCATGGGGAGCACTGTCTACATCAGGATCGTCAATCTCAGCGTCACTGAACTTCTGGTCTCTACGAGGTAAGTGCGTCAAGTACGTACTTACTCCTCCGGAAAGATAGCTTTGTCTAAATTGCAAATATAAGCGCAAAGAACCAGTGACTAACCGTCGACGAGCCTCAGCAGCTTTCTGTGAAGTAACGGAAGAAAAACGGCACTATGCGCCAATGCGTTAATTACGGAAAAATAAATGCTGTGACGAAAAAGCGATCGTTTCCCTTGCCCCGGATCGATGATATCTTGGACAAACTTGGGGGTAATACCATCTTTCCCACCCTCGACCTATCTTAAGGCAACTGATAGGCGGAGGTCCGATCCACTGATAGGGAGAAGACCGCGTTTACTGTACCGTCTGGTCTTTATGAGTTTGAGAAGGTGTCGTTCGGACTAGCCAATGTCCCTAGTACCTTTCAGAGGCTCATGAATCAGGTAATGTCTCAGCTAATTCTGAACTCGTGTCTGATTTACAATGACGACATCATTGTCCTTGGAAAGAACTTCGAGCAACATCTGTCCAATCTTTAATCCATATTCATCAGTCTCGGGCAAACCGGTCTAACTCCTAAACCTTCAAAGTGCGTTTTCATTCGACCACGCGTTTGATTCCTAGGGCATGTAATTTCAGCCACTGGAGTAGAAACCGATGTCGACAAAGTCGGACAGGTCCGAGAATGACCGACCCCTTCAGATGTGACAGAAGTTCACAGTTTCTTGGGTCTGACTTCGTGCTACCGACGTTTCATTAAAGACTATGCCCACATTGCCGTCCCCTCCACCACCTAACTCAGAAGGAGAAAAAGTTTAAGTGGACGGCCGAACGTGATGGTAGATTTCAGCTGCTAAAGGATAGATTGTGCAGTAGTCCCGTTTTGGTTTTCTCCGACACCAACAAAGGCGCAGGCAAATTTAGCTTAGATACTGGCGCCAGCGATACAGCTATGGGTGACGTCCTGTCTCAGCCGCAACGTGACGGCACCGGACGTGTCGTTCAGTACCTTAGTCACACACTTACCCAAGCCGTGCGGAACTATTGTGTCATCCGTAAAGAGATGCTCGCAAGTACGCATTTTATTGAGGAGTGTCGACCTTACCTCCAGTATCGACCGTTCATGTACGTACCTACGATGGCTCCTTAACTTGGTCAAGAAACTTTAAGAATCCTGAAGGGCAGGTAGCTCGCTGACATGGGACGTCAACGGTTTGACTTTGAATGCTCATTTCGACCGGGTAGTCGGCATGAAAATGCTGATGCCCTTTCAAGGAAACCTCATTAACCCCACGGGTAGGTCCGCCCTGTACCGACATCACTATATCCGCTGTCGCCTTCCAAAGTGACCAATGCCTGCTCTGGACGGCGGCTCAAAGGCCTGATCCACACATCTCTCCCGTCTATGACAGAAACGTTAGCGATGCTAAACTGCCTACTAAGCAAGGACTCGGTGGACATAGCTGAGACACGCCGCATGCACACGTTATGGGGCAAGTTATTCATTGGGAACAAAGTTATCTTCTACCGCGACAGCGACCAGTGTCCTGAACGAGTTTTCCCCCCACTTTCGACGGTCGACAACGTAGTTGAAAGAATGCACACAGAATTAGGTCACGCGGATATCCACAGGAGTGGGTGGGCCCTCCGCCGACGATTCTACTGGCCAAATAAAAAAGGAGACATTCACAACGCTGTCCGTGCATGCACGCTTTGCCTGGGCTCGAAATCCCCAACTCGTTCCCCGAGGGCTCCTCTGCAGCCCATTAAGATAGACTACCCCAACGAGAGGGCGGGCGTTGACATTGTCGGTCCGACTGCGCCGTCCCCTATAGGGAACAGGTTCATCTTTGTAATGGTAGATTTATTTACCCAAATGGCCGAGGCAGTGCCATTACCTGACGTTTCCGCGAAAACAGTAGCCAGGGCCATACTCAATGGTTGGGCTTGCCGCTGGGGGGCACCGGACCAGCTGCACCCTGATCGAGGCTTATCGTTCGAGAATGTTGTCGTACATGAGCTGTGTAGGTTCCTGAGGATTGAGAAGGCTCGCACAATCGCATACCATCCACAGGGTAACGGCCAGGTCGATAGGACCAACCGCACATTAATCGATCCGTTAAGAGCTTTTGTCGGCAGGAACTCAACACCAACGTGGGGCGAAGCCTTGCCCGCTTCCATGATGGCCTATTGGTCCACGGTAAATGTGACCACTCAACATACCCCATTCTTCCTTACGTGCGGCTGGGAAATGAAACTTCCTGAGCATCCTTAGGTCCCGCTCGTGCATCAGGTAGAAAATGTTGACATGTATGTATCAAGACTGCAAAAAGCTTTGCATGTAGCGTCAGAGGAGGCCCGTTTGCGTCTGCGGGAAAGGCAGCGTCACCAAAAACTTTTTACTACCGGCTGGCGCACGGCACCCCGTACAGTGTGGGAAACATTGTGCGGATGCGTAATTTTGCGTTAACGGCAGGGGTGTCTCCGAAATTCAATCCTAATTGGACTGGTCCGTATGTCGTTACTAAAGTCCTGTCGGAAACGAACTGTTTCTTCCATAGTCAGAATAGGCTGTACGTGAGTGAGTTCACTGTACACTTCAATGGCCTAAAACCCACAACGACGTATAAGAGTATCAACCGCCCCGTAATCCAAGCCAGCCCGTATCACCAGAACGACAACCAGTTTGACGAACGATATCTAGGAGCTCTTCCTCAATGGGGCTACGCCTGTATTAGAAATTCAGCTCGCGGCTGTGCGGTATCGGGGCGATGCGTTACCTAAAGCCACATGCGGACGAATCTAATCGAGCGCGCAACCCAAAAAACCAAAACGTAAACAGACGAAAAAGGCCTTGGTTAGGTAAAACAAATAAACGGCAAAATACAGCATGATTGAAAAGCAAAGAAATATGGCTATCGGGGGGGGGGAAATGCGATAGTAAATTGCCTTTGAATAATGGCATTGCCAATTTACAACCGTTAATATCGACCGTTTCCCATGCAATTCACTGCTGATATAGGTAATGCCGATGGGCACATTCATATCGCCATGTCTAACCGGATGACCTTTCTAGGCGGACCACTGGAAGCCGAAAGCCATAAAGAAACATAAATTTTGGGTGAGGTGTGTGAGACTTTAAGAGCGAACGACTGATTACCAACCATACTAACCCTCTATCTAACTAACCAACTAATTAACTAACTAACTAACCAAACTAACTAAACTAACTGACTAACAACTTACTAACTAAACTAATTAGCTAACTAACTAACAAACCAAACTAAACTAAACCAAACGCACTAAGTAACTAACTAGCTGTATTGACTAACTAACCGACGAATGACTGGTTACCAACCATACTAACCCTCTAACTAACTAACCAACTAATTAACTAACTAACTAACTAACCAAACTAACTAAACTTACTAAGCAAACTAACTGACTAATAACGAACTAACTAAATTAATTAGCTAATTAACAAACCAAACTAAACTAAACTCACTAAATAACTAACTGCCCAACTAACAGTGCTAATAAACTAGCTATACTGACTAACTAACCGACTAACTAACTAGACTAACTGACAAACTGCCTAACTAAAATAACTGACTAAAAATTAACTAGCTAAATAAACTAACTAATAAACTTACTAACCAGGTAAATTTGAGAGAGTTGAGGGAGACTCAAAGTTAGTAATCATATGCTAACTTCTCACTTTGCCGACTCTTTTAATGACATACTCCGGGTCTTTTAGTTGCTGGAGGTATCATCAAAATAATTTCGCACAAGTAAAACTCTAGAAAGGTCCCAGAATCCGCCGCATCTCTGGAGAAAATGTTCGACCAATCACTCTTCAGCACTCTGAAGCACGTCCGCATATCGCTTTTTTTGGTCACTCGCGTATCGGGCCGCGAATAACGCGCAACCAAAAAACCAAACGAAGTAAGCCAGCACAGGTCATTTAAACAGCCCCTATGCCATAGTAAAAATAACAAAAAAGCAAAAAAGAAGCGTCGCCTATCAATAAAAAACAATAAGCTTAAGACGCAGACAGAGAACTAAAAATTAACCGAAAATGTAAACATCCAGAACAGAAGTCTTTGCAAGCCGCGACAATTGGCACTACCGACTTCTATTACTGAATAGGCAGTCAGGCTGGCCTTCATTATGTGCACGTGAGCTCTACCTGCTCAACACCGCGACCAGAACAAAGCACTCTACCTTCCCTCAATCGACACCGGCAAAGTAGATCAATAGAACCGGCCTATGCGCCTGAGACGGAGGCTTAGTTCCCATATGGTCAACTATGCTGGCTACTTTTTTGAGAATATAGTCGGTAATGATCCCCCTAATAGCCATTAGCTCTCTACCCTCCCATTTGGTGTAAAACACCTTCAGGCCAAATGGGAAATAGTGTAACGTCTTTACTTGTAGAAAAAATAAACAATGTACAGACTGGCTTGGTGGAGTGGATCACGCGATTCCGACGAGTACGAGAAGGCTTTCTGTTTCGGGTGATCCGCATTACGGCGGGCTACAGGATATAGAGATTAAGATGCACGCTTTAGAGGATTAAACTAACCTACTTGCCGTCCGGCTTTCATTCCCTTCTTAATAGTTTTTTTCAACTAAAGGAACTGCATGGCGACTTGCAGTGACAATTTAGAAAACGCATTCTTACCTCAGCTTGTGACCTTGGCACCTTGGATGGTGGCTCGCCATGGGCAGGGGCAATGCATTGCCGTGTTATGCGTCTGTTGGTAAGGTGTGACAGAGTCTGTTGCCCACAACTTACGCACGGGTTACGTAAAGGTTACAAAGTAAAATAAGTAAAACTGAAATACTATCACAGCTGCGTCAGACATCACAGCCAACCCCGACATCACAGAACGCAAACTAACCTAGAAGTTACGAAATAAAATTAAATCAAAAACTAAAATACTGTCACAGCCGCGCCAGACGTCACAGCCAGCCTTAATATCACAGAACGCAAACTAACGTAGAATTTACGAAGTAAAATAAAATCAAAAACTAAAATACTATCACAGTCGTGTCAGACGTCACAGTCGTAGCTAGATATCACCGTAAGCTAAATCAGGGTGATGAAACAGACGCATAACCACCTGCCACAGGTCTGCGGGTTGTCAATACAAAGCTCATGGAACTTGCGTCGACATGATACACATTTGGAAATAGTTCCCCTACTAACGAGGGTATTACCGCCGCAGGCACCACACGCATCCACGAACGGGATGTCGTCCATGTCCACAGTCGTCTCTTCCAAATACCGACTGGGCATCCTAGAGTCCCTGCGCGTAAGACTGCTGCTGGCACTATGCATGGAGACAGTTACGTTCATCGCACGACTTCTCAGAGGTTTGCAATTCGTCCAGGGACGTCGCGTGCACGGCCGGCCACGAATGCGGAAGTTAGGGAGCAAAGTGTCATTGTGCAGAATACGTACAGATGGGTCTTGGTCAGAACCCCACTACGCGACAAACACATCACCCTCCTCCCTTATCTGACATCGAACAACTTTGTCACTCGTGTCAACTTCCATTTCATCCCCGTTCGGCTGTGAAGGGGAGTCGACAAGCGACTCTTGTAGACAGCCGGAAGGGGCATTCATGATCCGGTCGGCAAACGCATCAGCTTCCCGCAACAACTCGAAGCGTTGACCCCCGAAACTCTTTAATTTCTCCACGATAGGCTGCACGTGGTTCATAGCAACGTTGTACTTGTCTGCTTCGATTAATGGCCTTCGTACTTTGCTGACGACAACGTCTGTCGGGAAGGACGTAACGACCCCCGGGTCAACATTCTCGTCAGCGACGGCCTCCTCACATACGTCCACACGAAATACCCACCTATTCTTCGACAGAGCCTGACAGACGTCGACCCTATGCTTCTCCAAATAGTTGACAATGTGAACACACGACAGCTGCCGGTTACGATTAAACTGACAGCTACACGTGTCCGCTGCATCGCTACAGAATCGGACATCGGAGTTTTCAGAGAGGTGGGATAATAAGGCATCTGAGGCATACCCAGTCAGCCTTTAGCATATTCGACGGACGTGTGACCTTAAGCCTTTGTAGTGCCTGCGGCGGCAATACTCGTCGGCGTCCAACCGATTATTGTCAACCGATTTTGACTCCAGAAACTGCACTATGTTATGAACGCAGTCGGTGAGAGACATATATGGCTTACACCACTGCTTCAACACCCGGTTGACACTTTCAATCTTATTTGATGTGTTGTCGCCGTATGTCACAAGACTACGCCGATTATAATGGGCCCACAGGAGTCTACACAGCCACCAGTTAGCCACAATGTGCGGCCATAGCTCAGGAAAGATTTCCCTCAAGCTATTAATTAGCATCTTAAAGAACTTGAAAGACCTGGCGTAAAGAGCCCTTCGGAACTGGTCAAAGGCCTGCTCTGACCTATCGTTCCTATAGGCACTCTTCAGTTTTCTCTTAAAAGCCTGCAGCACGTGAAATGTGCACATGAGAATTGAAACTTTATTTCCTGGAAAAACATTCCCGAGCATCTTTATCTATGAACACCGTGCGTAAGTTGTCAGTAGCAGACCCCATCAGCTCCTTAAATTTACAAACCACCCAGCGCCCGCTGGTGACGTCTTCGCGGATTACAAACGCATAGAACACACACTAAGCATGCCCGTGCTTGTCAGTTACCACAATGTGGTACAATGCACACCGCTGCCTATTGGGCCGGTATGTGGCGTCCATTTTAACCACATCCGGATACTAGAATAGAAAAAAATAGGTTTATTATAGCGCCCCTTGGGCACAGTCAGTCTCCTTTGAACACAGGAAAAAAAACCTAGAACAAACTCATCCATTTCGACTGCCCTTTGACTTCATTGGTTTTGGGTGCTTAGTCAAAAGAGCGCGAATTGAGAGTTTAAGTTAAAAAAACCCGAGTTCTAACGTGAAATAATAACAAAAGTTTTAAAAAAGAACGATATGTACAGAACGAAAATTGAAGTGTGCAGTTTAGTAGTTTTTGGGGGCATGAATAATAAGTCCTTCATGGAAATTAAAGAACTTTGATATCGATCTGACCTTGAAATTATTTTCCAGCTGGTCAAATTTGGGTGTTTTCTAATTGGTGTGTAAAGAACAGATATTTGTAGTTAAGTTTGTTCTAATTCTTTTGTTAATGCTCTCCTGAGCGGCAATCCGCTCTCTTTGAAGCCACGGTGACGGATCACCAGGCGGACGCGCAGGAGGTGAAACCCCGCGTACCGACGCCTAGACAAGAAGGAGGGTAAATCAGAGGAAAGCTCGCGCATACCTTCTGGTTCCCTTACTCCATTGTCACCCCCTTTACCCCTCTGTTCCACAGTTTACAATTCCTCTTACTCCTAGTTCTCGATTCAATAAACGTTCCTTGGTTGGAAGTTCATTTCTGG